GAAGTATGCTTAGTAATTTGAATTAGATATGCATGATAATTTCGTTTGATAATTTTTGCAAATTAATTAATGAAATCTTGAATATTCTACCTAAACACTAGAGTTGGTGGGCATTTTTTTAAATATTTTGAGTTAGTTGGTGGACAATCTTTTTAATTTATTTTAGACATATTTTGCTCAATTTTTATTAATTATTGAGCTACGATTGAATATAAGTTATTTTGGTTTTAATTAAATTTGTTGGATAATCAGAGTTAAGTTTAAAAAAGTTGATTAAGTTAGGTAAGGTTTGATTGAAAGTTTGAATTTCATTAAAATAATATTTAAAATATAATGATTAAAGTTGATTTGACATAAAAGTAAGAAAGAAGTGATTGGAAAATGTGGGTAGTTAAAATTATATCAGTAAATATTAATTAAAGTTAATGTAACGTGTAAGTATAATTAATTGATATTACTTAATTATATTGATAATGTTGATAAGAGTTTAATTGAGTTAAATTTAAGTTAGACTTTGCGTTAAAAATTATCTATTGATAATGCTTTATATTAATTTTGACTTGAATAGGTACTAGTAAGTCAATTTAATTTTAATTTTTAATGGAATGGAAGTGATTTGAGTAAACGAGTAATAGCGTGTTTTTGTCCATAGGTTATTAAACATCAACGAAGACAATAAGAATAAAACCATGGCATAAAACATCCCATCGTTAATGACGAACAAACAAAATTAAGATGCGTAGAAATCAATATTTTGCCCGACCAAATTCAGTACTTGTCCATATAAACTCGGAATAAAACCAAACTCTATTCAGTTTAATTATATTATAAAAAAGTATATTGCCCAGCCATCTAGCTAAAGAAAAACATATAGAACCTAATCAAATACTCATGTTCAGCTTTTGTAAATCAAATAATAGGGTTTATCTTTTTCTTCGCCCAACATGTTATGTTCTTCAGACTTTCAATTGTAGTGGGCAAGTTTATTCCAGGAATATACCACCCTTTTCCTTGGCCTATACAGTAGTGCTATTGCAAAGTGCGCCTTGCCTTTCCTTGATGGTTAATTATTTTGAAGTACTTTAATTTGGTCAACTATTGTAGAGGATGAAGTCAACTTTTGTGAATTTGGTGATAAAACTAAAAGGCACCAATGTGTCTCCACAAATCAAATTGTAGGGAGAAAAATTGAGGTTGTCGTGACATCTTTTATTCAGCAATCTGTGAAGCCATCCATTGGAAGAAAAGGTTGTAAATATAAGGTACTAACAATGGCCTTGATAAATCTTATAAATATCAGAAGATGAAAATTTTGAAGAATACTAGAAACATAATTTTTTTTAAATAACAGCTAATCTCACGTAACATATAGAATGGATTAAAGTTTTAGAACAAAAATACATCTGCAGTGGAGTGTTGGGAGTCCCGGAAGTGCATTTTCTTTAACTTGTTGAATTCTATCAGGTAGAATTCCCGTTTATACTGATTATGTTCTCAGTTAGTCACGAAGATTAATTATAACTGAAAATTTTAATTCTCAAAAAAATAAAGACAGTAAATATCTAATTTTATTATTAATATTATTATTTTTATGTAAAACAATCAGACTCGCAAATTATATGCTAACAACTTTTTAACTCTTATCCTTCCACTAGATGTAGCTTCTGGCTGTTTTCTAGAAGTAATTATGTATTTTATTTATATAATCGTTCCAACAAAAATAAAAAAATAAATTTATTTAATAAATAAACAATATTTTTATACATTTAAATAAAAATAATTAAATAAATTAATTTTTATTTACAAAGGTAGATATATTATACATACATATATATATATATATAGTTTAGAACATATGAGAAATTAAAAGTCATTGTGAAAGAAATAAGAATGAATCCTAGTCATTGGATATAATACATCAACGCTCCAGGCACGGTCAAAGGGTCCAGCTTTAGTCAAACATGCAATGGCATTTCTATAAATATGTGTATTTTTGATTTGGCACGCGGGGGTGTTTTAGTCATTGCGCATAATGCACTGTTATGCTATCTGGCAGATATTAATGTGCAATTTATTTATCACTATTGTGCACTTTTTAATGTGTATTCAGATGTTATATTGTGCACTACATTGGACATTAACGTGCAATCATTAAAGTTTACATGAATTATAAATTTGACATACGAACTTAATTGTGATATATTAAAATTTACGAAATTACAAGTAGGTCTCTGAGACTTATCAAATTTTCAAACAACACACAACCCCAAATTAAAATTCTCGCCAACGAATTTTCAAAAATTAACCGTTCATGTGTCTACAACATTAGTCGGGGGTTGCCGGTGGGTCCAGCCATCAGACTGTGAGAAGACGAAGTCGGAGAGGTCGACTTTGATTTCGATTTTGACGGGGGCAGAGAGGCTGCAGGGAAAATTATGGGCAGCCCGATCGATTAGGGTTTTGAGGTGATCTGATTAGGGTCGCGGACGCCCATATCTAATTAGGTCATGACATCGGGATGGAAGGGGCGTTGATGAAGATGATGGAGTCGTCCTCGATCGTCGGGCTCCTTAGACGGAATCGATGACAAGTGGCGGGCGGTAGAGGCGGTATTCTTTGAGTCGATTTCGCTGGTCTACTCTTAACGCTAGCGGAGGCGGCACTTTCTAAGCTCGGCGATGGAGAAAGGTGGCGACGAGGGTTTATGTGTGCGTGCGTGTGTGTGAGAGAAATGGGTGGGTGGAGTGTGGCCCACTGGTGAGTGTTATTTTGGTAATGTCCAATTTACCCTTAATCAGTATAAATGTTTGGTTTTTTTAAAGTGTAAAAACTACTTCAAAATCATCCCCAACATTCTTAACCACCAAAAAGTCACATTTGCATCTATACACTTTGAAGGAAAGACTGTTCAATGGTATCAAAATTTCAGCAACAAATAAGGGAATATCACTTGGGCACAATTCTTAGAGGTCATTTTAACCAGGTTTGAGGAGCTAAAGGAATCCAGGATAATTGGGGAGTCCAACAAACTTAGGCATACAAGTTCTTATCAAGATTATGTGGAGAAATTTGATTAGTCAAGAGCTTGTATGTTGTGCACGAACCATGATTATACAAAAGAGTATTTTACTGCTCTTTATAAGTGGTTTATAAGAGGAGTTACAATCATCTATTCATATGTTTGATCCATTAACTCTTCAACAAACTATTGGGTTGGACAAAAACCAATTGGTCATATTGGAGGCGATCATAAAGAAACTCAAGAACTCAAACAAGACCTTGCCAAATATCTATAGATGCCTAGAAAAGCTGAATATTCCTACTCAAACACTACCAAACCTGTCCGCAGTCCCCAAAGGAACATGTGAAGCTACTTACAACTTCAGAAATGGTTGCAAGGAGGGAAAAAAGGTTTTGCTACAATTGTGATAAACAATTCACTTATGGGCATAGGTGTAGATTAAATTGCATGATAATAACATAGGGACAGAAATCAACTACCTACAATTTACAGAATCACGGGGAGAAGATGCAAGAGAATTGGAAAAAATTGAAGAGTTTCAGATGTCCTTAAACTCTATAACTAGGGAAGATGAGATAAAACAATGAGGGTGTACATGGGGAATCTAAGGGCCATAAGTTGCACATCCTTGTTGACTCAGGTAATACTTTGAGCTTCATACAAGCTAGCACTACCAAGTCCTTGGGGTTATCATTGAAGCATGCTAAACCATTAATGGTCAGGGTTGCCAATGGGCAAAGAATGTTTAGCACCCATATTGCTGAAAACTTCTAGTTGAAAATACAAGGAAACACATTTATGTATCATTTAAGGGTATTGGATAATGAAGGCTATGATATGATCTTGGGTGGTGATTGGTTAAAGAGTTTACTCCTAGTGAGCTTGATAATGAGAAAATGAGTGTCACTGTGACTCTTCAAGGGAAGATTGTCAGGATCCAGGCTCTAAAAGCATAGGTTGCTTGTAAATTCATCTCAGGGTTAACTCTATACAAGTTGATACACGAGGAATTCAATTCCATAGTGGAATAAATGTATTGAGTAGTTATAAGCAACCCAGACCACCAGAGTATTTAACAAGAAGTGGAAATTATATTGAAAGAATTTGATGAAGTATTTCAGGAGCCTAATGGACTACCACATAATAGGGATCTTGAACACCAAATCACCCTAAAGCATAACAATATCCCTAAGCACCAATTCCCTTACAGGTCTTCTCACAGCCACAAAGGGAAATAGAAAGGTTTGTGACTGAAATGTTGGAAACAGGGATTATTCAGGACATTAAGAGTCCTTCTTCTTCTCCTTGGATGAACCTCATGGGAGCCTGTGAAGACCCATCAATGAACCCTTCCAAACCATAGTCTCTGAAGGTGGTGAGAACTTGTTGTCTTCAGATTAAATGATTTTCATGTGTAAGCTTGAAGGAAATGAGTTGATTTTGGAAGTTGTATGGGCAATGAGAGAGAAAACGGATTTAGGCTCGGATTTGTATTGCCAGCCATTATTTACCCAATGGATCAAAGCAAGTTATCCCTACTCTTATACCATGATGGAAACAAAATAAGTCATGATAAAATATTTATCATGATTGATCACAGCCGTAATGTCTTGCATCCTCTTATATATAGCCTATTCATAGACCTATCTAGAAACCCTAAGGACAAGAACAAATAAGTATATGTGAGCTGATGCAACAGCTTGAGAAAACTAGTTGTTCAAAAGACAAACAATTCAAACAAGACTAGTACTAGAGCACGTGCATGGCATGATGCATGTGATGAGCTGACGTGGAGTCTTCATGCTCACATGGCAGTGTTGACCATTTGCAAAAGTTAGTTATTTGGAAAGACTTTTGTAATTTAATTTTTAAGTTCAATTTATTTCAAGAATTTATTACGTTTAATTAGAAATGGATTTAAGATTACTTATTGATAAGTTGATTTTTCAATATGTCAAATTTAGGGAGGAGATAGAAACTTTTATAAAATTCCAATACTTTCTGAAAAATGTCACAATAAAAACACTAACCATGAGACAGATTTTGAAACTTTGTCATTAAGTTTTGCAAATTATAGTTTTTGGTATATTCAAAGGTGACGTAGCTTATGCAAACTTATCCCAACGAAAGAGAAAAATAAACGGAAAAAAAGGTTAAGAAGCGAAAGTAATAGAAATTGGAAACCACCGATGACATACTAAATCAGGATCTGGGCCGTCCATCTCCTCAATTCAACACACATCAACGTCCAAAAACTCACCTTTTTTAATAATTATTAATTAATTAATTAATTATTAGTAAAAAAAATATTTAACAACGTGAAATTGTGCACAAACTGAGTGAGGCTGTTATATGAGCGCAAAACCCAGAAATACACAATTAGGCGCACTTTCTCTCTCTTGATCTCAGAATTGGAGTGCGTTGTTCTCGACTCGTACACTCTTCGTGGATCTTAGACGCGGGTCTGTATCACTTAATCCGGTACAATGGTGAGTTTATTTGCTTTAATCATTATTGGAATGTGTTGCGATTTGCCTGGATCTGGTCTATGTTTCCAATTGTTCGAATTCGGTTAGTGAATTTCTGTTTTGTTTAGATTGTGATGCGATTTTTTGAGATCTGGAGCTGTTCTATTGTTTGCTTACTCACTATGTTTTGATTGTTTGTTTCTGGTGTTGAACTACGGGGCAGCCGCTGAGACTAGAAATCAAGGTACCGAAATCATTTCATCTGAGATTCTGTATTTTGGATTATTCCATTTTCTTCAGTTTCTCTCCCATTATTCGTGTATCCAAATGAGCTAAACTATTTGATTTGCTGTATCAGCGGAAACTTGCACAACGATCAGAGCGTGTGAAATCCGTGGATCTGCATCCAACGGAGCCATGGTATGTCACGTTAAATTTATTAATCTTTCATAACAGTTACATTAGGAATGCTTTAACTGAATGTGGAATCGGTTCAATATGATAACTTCTTTGTCGTGGCTGTTTTTTTATGCAGCAACCTAGTCAGCAGACTCAGCACTTCACTTTGCTGCAACTATATATTCTATATGTGATCATTTGCGTTAACAATTTTATGATTTTTGATTCTGCCATTTTAGTTTCTAACAGGCATTGGTTTTGTTAGTCTGAATGATCATATGTGGGGAAACTTACATGTATTTATGTGTTCTGTCACTCTCGTTTTAGTTATCATGATATTCTGAATAATCCATCTTGCCTTTGACTTTGACAGGATATTGGCAAGTTTGTACTCGGGAACTGTTTGCATCTGGAACTATCAGTCTCAGGTAAGAGCAATGCAGCTAACACAATTACTTTTTGCCATCATGGAGCATTTCCACGTAAAAAAGCGCGTTACATAATTAGGTGTTTGGTTTTTGTAGGATGTCGTACAACTCTGTAAGATTAGAATTGATTAATGGATACTTATATTGTATGACCATCTCATCTAGCGGAGCAAAACTATTTTTTTTCCATCTTATACGTTTGTGGTTAATTCTATATCATCTTGAGTTCCGAGTTTTGTTAATTTTCAGGATCATTTAATACCTCTGCTGTTAATACCAAATTTGAATCCATTTTTACTGTTAACAGTGTTGGGAAAAATTGGAAAATAAAATTCTAAGTTTTCCTGTCACCATGCCAAATAGCTGCTTGACAGCTTACCCATGATAACGTGAGCTGATAGTTGTTGTAGTTTTTGCATTCTTCGCCTAGCCATTTGCATATCTGGCCTTGTTGTTCTTCTACATGGATTCTTGACTCGTGGTCCTTGATTTCTTTTGCTGCAGACTATGGTTAAATCTTTTGAGGTTACAGAACTTCCAGGTGCATGATTGGATTCATATTTCATACTTTGATTGGTGCAGCAACGTTTCTCTTGAAATGTTCTATTATGATAATATGCATTTTTTTTACTATTTCCTGTTATGCTATCTTGCAGTTAGATCTGCAAAGTTTATAGCAAGGAAGCAGTGGGTTGTAGCTGGTGCTGATGACATGTTCATCCGCGTCTACAATTACAATACAATGGATAAGGTCAAGGTGTTTGAGGCCCATACAGATTATATTAGGTGTGTGGCTGTTCATCCCACTCTTCCCTACGTGCTTTCATCCTCTGATGACATGCTAATAAAGCTCTGGGACTGGGAAAAGGGGTGGTTATGCACTCAAATATTTGAGGGTCATTCTCATTATGTGATGCAAGTAACATTTAATCCCAAAGATACCAATACATTTGCCAGTGCATCTCTTGATCGCACTATTAAGGTAAGAATCCATTCACAGTTCAGTTATATTGTTTGGTTTTTTGGTTCACTTGATGTGGCGTTTTAAGCTTGTTCTGTTCCTACTATTGTAGATCTGGAATCTGGGCTCTCCAGACCCCAACTTTACTCTGGATGCTCACCTCAAAGGAGTCAACTGTGTAGATTATTTCACTGGTGGTGATAAACCCTATCTAATCACTGGTTCTGATGATCATACAGCTAAGGTCTGCATGTGTTTTTCAGTTCTCCTTAATTGAATTCAGTTTCGAAGACAAATCTAAAACATTCTTAAAAATTTTAAAAACAGGTTTGGGATTATCAGACAAAAAGCTGTGTGCAGACATTAGAAGGCCATACGCACAATGTTTCTGCAGTTTGCTTCCATCCTGAACTTCCCATTATAATAACTGGCTCTGAGGATGGTACAGTTCGCATCTGGCATTCAACCACTTATAGGTATGAGATAACATTGCCATACTTGTTTGCTGTTTTATTATCTGATTGAGAGTCCAACAAAAAACTGTAGCACAGTACTGTTTTATTTGTTCTTTTTCTTTTAAATTTTGAAACAATCACTCTGTTATTGATGAATTGTGTTCATAATTTCATTTAAGGAAATTGGTATTCGATTGAAGTGCAGAGAAGTGAGGATTTATTCTTCTTATGTCTTGACTGTTTATAAACAGCCACGATTTCAAATGCTATATTTATTAGCCGTCTGCATATTACTCTTAGCTAGGGTGTTATGTTCTCCTTCTATTATTCCTTGCAATCATCTGAGCAAAACATCCTTCGCCATTTGTGCCATCTTGCAGACTTGAGAACACATTGAACTATGGTCTTGAAAGAGTTTGGGCAGTTGGCTATCTGAAAGGTTCAAGAAGGTGAGTTTTACTTAAGTTGATTGTATGTGCTTGCAAGGATTATTCTATCTATTTGAAATTTGGGTTTTAATTCTTTTCAGAGAGTCCTGAACTTGACCTGGCTTAGATATGTGAATTTAAGTTAAAATAATCGCGTCTAAGAAAAATGGTCGCAAGTGAAGTCTAGAACTACGCGTTAAAACCACTGATTTAAAAAATCTGGATATTAGCGTCGTGTAGATTACTTGAGGAATGAGGAATCTTGCTTGATAGAAGTTTGCGAATCTTTCATGGAACTTGTTGTTTATGTTTTTGCTGCTCTTGTTTGGAGTATGCTCCTAATACTGATGAACTTGATGTATAGGGTCGTAATCGGTTATGATGAAGGAACTATCATGGTGAAGCTTGGTCGGGAGGTACCTATTGCTAGCATGGACAACAGTGGCAAAATCATTTGGGCAAAGCATAATGAAATCCAAACTGTCAACATCAAGAGCGTCGGAGCAGATTATGAGGTATAGATATGGTTGAACTTAAGGAATCAATTGCAAAGTCAAGCGCTGCTACTGAATGAAATTTTCTCAGGTTGCGGATGGAGAGAGGCTGCCTTTGGCAGTTAAAGAATTGGGAACCTGTGACCTTTACCCACAGGTAGTTATTTACTAATTGTTTTGAACCACATATCAAGTTATTAAAGGGGCTACAATATGTAGAATTCATGTCACTCCACATATCAAGTTATTAAAGGGGATACAATATGTAGAATTCATGTTGCTCCATGTTGCTATTTAGGTATATTCATGTAAAGAGAACCTTAAACACGCGCGCGCACACACACACACACACATATATACATATATATATACTGTTTTCATCGTTCAGTTCATGCTAGGATATGTTATCAGGATAACAATTTCTTAATTTTTTATTCTTTATAATTTGGAAAATTTAAGTGTATTATTTTTGAAGCTTTTTCATTTGTTGTTTGATAGTTTATAATTACACTTGGAACTCGTTACTTTATTTGACAAGTTTGCTGGTTTATCACCTTTATATGTATCTAAGTTTAGGTGCTTTATCTGCTTAATGAATAAGAAAATGTGGAGTAGCGAAGCCTTCGTGAAACGTCCTATTTAAAAGTATTCAGAAGCCCAGTTGCTTAGATGATATCAATTTGACGAATATATTCCCTGCTGGAGATGCTTATTCAATTTATTCGTCTAGTTCTCTATAATTTTGCTTTTGTTTTGAAAATATAGTCACCATTAAGTTCTTAAAATTGAATAGATTCTGCTGCACAACTTTCCAGAAAAAGTATGTCTTGATGTTGTTTTACCCCAAACGGCTTGTTGAACCATGGTTCAATTCTCAGTTATCTACATTATCTTTAGGAGAAGTCTTTACAGTGTGAATTGACATTTAATTCTTCTATTACATTATGTCTTTACTCAATTATGCTACTGTTGTTTAATTATTTCCGTGGTGCTAATTTGAAAAACACAAGGAGAAACATGTCATTAGCCAGGTGGTGCTGCTTTTCTCATTCATGTGCATGCATGTTTTTTAAATTTTGATTTATTTAAGAAATTAGGCTTTCTTTATGTTTGAAATGATTGGATGAAAAGAGTCTTTGCATCTTTCATTATGGAGATGGTTCAGATGATGAACTGTTGTGCTAACAAAGTATTGGATTTTTTTTTTCCCCTGCTGGCAGAGCTTAAAGCATAATCCTAATGGTAGGTTTGTGGTTGTATGTGGGGATGGTGAGTACATTATCTACACAGCTTTGGCATGGAGAAATAGATCATTTGGTTCAGCCTTGGAATTTGTTTGGTCGACGGAAGGCGAATATGCTGTTAGAGAAAGCACATCAAAGATTAAGATCTTTAGTAAAAATTTCTTGGTTGGTTTTCCACCTCTAATATCTTTTATTTAGTGATCAATACGCTCAAAGCATTAATATATGGACCTTANAGACCCACATTTTCTGCTGAGCACATTTATGGTGGCACTTTATTAGCTATGTGCTCTAATGATTTTATTTGTTTCTATGATTGGGCTGAATGTAGGTTGATAAGGAGGATTGACGTCAATGTTAAAGTAAGAGAATCACAATAAAAAGATAGTCATATGCTAGTATTATTGCTATACTTGTTCTAATCACTTCTGTCTCTTGTGATATATTCCAGAATCTTTACTGGGCTGACAGTGGTGATTTGGTGGCCATTGCCAGTGACACATCTTTCTACATACTCAAGTATAATGTAAGGATTCTATTAAACTTACACACCTCATAAGTTTGTGTGCAAGGTCTTTGTACGGAAGTTGTAATGAATTGTTTGGCCTTTATGTGTTGCAGCGTGATGTTGTTTCTGCTTATCTGGAAAGTGGGAGACCAGTAGATGAACAAGGTGTGGAAGATGCTTTTGAGCTTCTTTATGAAATTAATGAACGAGTTCGGACTGGTCTTTGGGTTGGGGATTGTTTCATTTACAATAACTCTTCCTGGAGACTCAATTATTGCGTAGGTGGTGAGGTATGGTTTACTTCACCATGTAATATTTATGCTCTATTTCAATCATTTTTTGCCAGCTGGTACTTTTAGAATTGTAGTAAAGCATTTTTTTATGTGATCTTATAGGTCACAACAATGTTCCATTTAGATAGACCCATGTACCTGCTTGGATATCTTGCTAACCAAAGTCGTGTGTATCTCGTCGACAAAGAATTTAAGTAAGTCGTACCTTCTACTTTTAGAAGCAACGGCAGCAACTGCAGCTTTTTAACTGTATTATTTTGTAATTGGGGTTCAGTACCAACTGCTGTTAATAGATTAATAAAGTATTAAGTCTTCGTCCTTTGATGCAAGGGGAGAGGTGCTTACTGATTGGTTTGCAATCTTCCTAATATCTCTCTGGATCTGCTTTGCAGTGTTATTGGTTATACGCTGCTACTCAGCCTGATTGAGTACAAGACTCTTGTAATGCGTGGTGATCTGGACAGAGCTAATGAGGTCTTACCAGTAATTCCAAAGGAGCAACTTAACAGGTTCTTCAAATTTACTGTTGTTAAAGTTATTTTAGAAAGTAGCTATACAGGATTATTTTATTTAATTTGAGGATAAAGAAATCATTTTGCGTGTGTAGAGGATAATACAACCAGTGCTTTTTGTTTGAGAATTTGAAAAGGCGAACTATCAACTTTATCAGGTGTCCTAGTTAGATTCATTTAATCTTGTTTCAGTGTCTCATTTTTACTTTATTGGAATTGTAGCATTGTTTCTAATTTTGAGGAATAAGTTCCTGGAACAACTTATCAGCTCTCTTTATGTAAAAATTAATCATGTGCGCAGTGTGGCTCGTTTCTTGGAATCACGGGGTATGATAGAAGATGCACTTGAAGTTGCTACAGATCCTGACTATAGATTTGAGTTGGCCATACAGCTAGGCAGACTGGAGATTGCAAAGGTAAAAGCAGTTTGACATGTTTTCAAAGCACTAGAACATCATGATTTTTTCCTGGACTACTTCTTGTTTGGGAGGTTATATAATTAATCTTTATAGTGAAATATTGTGATTTGGAGCATGCGGTTCTTATTGGTGCACTTCCTGTTCTCTTCAGGAAATTGCCTCAGTAGCACAGAGTGAATCTAAGTGGAAGCAATTGGGTGAATTAGCCATGTCTACTGGCATGGTACTTTTCTTTCTTGATACTTTAAATTAAAATACATTAAATTTGCCTCGCTTGAGGTTCTCTGGATTAATTATTGTCTTTCACACAAAAGAAAAGAGATAACTCTCTTCTTTTTAAAGTCCCTCGTTGAATATGCCAGACTGATTTGTAAAAACCTTTTGCTGCCCTTAATTTTTGTTTTTCATGCTCAAAGGCCGACACATTTGTCTTCCACTCTTCCTTGCTTTAATATATCTCATGTCTGTTTAAAACTATGGTCAAACTTCGTCTGTTCTTTCTAAAATCTATTGCGCCTGTTTCTTCTGTTCCAGTTAGAGATGGCAGAGCAGTGCTTGAAGCAAGCAAATGACTTGAGTGGTTTATTGCTACTCTATTCTTCTTTAGGCAATGCTGAAGGAATCTCTGAACTTGCATCTCTTGCTAAGGAACATGGAAAAAACAATGTTGCATTCCTTTGTTTATTCATGTTGGGTAAATTGGAGGACTGCCTTCAGCTGTTGGTCGACAGGTGCAGTTTTCATTACTTTATCCATTTGATTTTCTGTATAGTTCCATTGTCTAAGAAATTATTATTATTGCAGCAATCGGATACCTGAAGCTGCATTGATGGCTCGGTCTTATCTCCCTAGTAAAGTGTCAGAAATTGTCGCTCTTTGGAGAAAGGACCTTAATAAGGTTCATGTTTGTTTATCATGTATTCTTGATTTTATTGAGGCATTTCTGGGGATTTTTTATGCCAAGGCATTTTGTTGAAGTCCAAACAGAAAACTAATCTCGAGGTGTAGAATTATTGATGCAACCTTATTATTTGACGTGGCTTCATTTCTATTTGCAGATCAATCAGAAAGCTGCAGAATCTCTTGCTGATCCCGAAGAATACCCTAATCTGTTTGAGGACTGGCAAGTTGCTCTTGCTGTTGAGGCCAAAGCTGCCGAGACAAGGTACTCTAGTCTTGTACTGCTTTTCTGAATACCCTAACCTGAGCACTTTTTTCATGAAAATTTTTAGTAGTCTTAAAGTCATGTTTCTTCTCTTGCTGTCTTTTGTTTTTTTAGAATTTGTAGTAGCACAACCAAATTCAGTTCTAGTTAACCATGCCCTGCATTATACGGTTTTACATTATTCAATTTTCGATGATGTCTGCATTAGTCCAGATTCTCAGATGACGCTTTGTAGTCTTGAGTTGGCGTGCTCCATAAAATATAACTAACCTGTTATCTGTTTTCTTGCAGGTGTAAATATCCTCCGGCAGCTGAATATTTGCAACATGCTGATAGATCAACGGCTAGTCTTGTAGAAACTTTCAGAAACATGCAAATGGATGAAGAGCACCTGGAAAACGGAGAATTGGATTATGAGGTAGTGGTGTAATTCTATTCCCCATTTGCCAGAATATGCTATCAGAATAGCATTTTACTATTGCCGTATTCTGCACGAATGAAAAAATGAAAGAAATTGAAAGAGCATGGTCTGTAAGGAATTTATTTTTGTTGTCCACTTATTAAAGATGACATGAAGTCTTCAAAATTCATTATCCAAGTCTTAGTTGCCTAATGTGGAAATACTGAACCTCCAAAACTCTTGTATTGAATATTAATTATTGTACTCCCTGTGTTAGCACTTGAAATGATACCCAAGCTGTTGTTTAGATGTTGTTTGTTACATTATTCTTTTCTCCTTCACAATTCCAGGATGCAGAGCCAAATGGAGATGATGAAGAAGCACAAGAAGAGCCAAAGGACGATCAAGTTGCAGTTCATGACGCCAGCCAAGAAGAGGCTGTTGCAGTTGATGTTGACTCAAACGATGGTGCTGTACTTGTGAACGACAGTGAGGCTGAGGAAGAGTGGGGTACGAATAATGAAGGAAAACAGTCAGCCTAAAAGCAATTTGGTTGGGCCGGTGTGAAAATTGCTAGTTTTGTTTCTGGTGATTAATTGATTTTTTCTTTTAGTTTTGCCCGATCTTTTGTGTTAGTATAATTTGCGTCGTTCAAATACGTGTTAGCTGTAAATTTTCTGTTTGTCGTCTTTTATGAATTTTCCCAGATGGTTGCTGGAAGAGATTTTTAGTATTTGTCTGATATTGATATTATTCAGAGTTTGGCAATCGTGGTCTTTGGTTGTTTGATGAGTGTAAGTGGGAGTTACCTTTTTCCTTAATGTAGGAAATTTGACTTCTACATAAAAGGATAATTATCTCTTAGATATCTTATGCTTTAGTTTTGACAAGAGTAGTGGGGTAGAGTGTGAACCAAGTATATAATTATAATTTCATTAATATTTGTGTGGTGCATCTCTCCTGGTGGTGGTTTCAATTTCTACATCACTTTTCAGTCTCAATGAATTTTATATCTAGAATTCTTATTCCTTTATTCTTTCTTTCAGTGCTTACACCACGTCACTGAGCCCAGTCAAGACAGATGGTTCCAGCTGTGTACGGATCATCTCATGGTAAGAGAATTGAATTTCATTGTAAGTTCAGTTTTAACATGCAGTGTAAAGTGAATGTGTCCTACACTTCCCTGCTATAGATTTTTTATTCTCTGATTTCACCTAATTTGAAATGCTTTTACTCTGTGAGGGTGGTTTGCTAAAAGAATTCTAACCCTCCCCAAGATTTTGTGAAACTAAAAGAATTCGAACAATCCCCCAAGTTATGCAAGCAATCTTGCTGGAGATGTTTATGTAGTTGGATTTTGTGTGGTCCATAGATGTGTAACTGTGGAGTCTTCTTCGTTACTTGAAAATTTGTTTCTTAGATTGCTCTATTTTTGTGCTCTAATGCTAATACATTTTCTCATGCCAGGAGGTTAGCAGCGTGGTAATTAAGGGACCAGATGTCTTTTTCTTCGCACGTGGTGGATAAGCACAATAGAATTTTGTTATTCTGACACATTAGCTTATGAATACCTGAGTCATGTTTAGCCGCTGAATATTTTATTTTTTATTTTTTATGTCCCGAGATGTAGATACGAACAAGCATTATAGAGTTTAATACCCATGAAATGTTGTATTCAGAATTTACCCAAGACTATATTTTTGGTGTCTTGTGAACTTCGTTTCCTGGATAGTCAAGTTTGCTACTACAAGTTGAGAATCACTATTTTTGAGTGTGCAGGTTCCTAAATTGATCAAGCCCAGAATTCTGACGAAACTGATCATTTGCATTGCTAGTGGGCCAAGGGGTTTTCATCCTTTGGGCTTGCAATAAAAATGAGAAAATTAACCACCGTCCATTTTTTTTTCAAGATAAAATTACTCCATTCGACTATCTCAACTTTCTTTCCGACTATTGTTACGCCACTGGGCATTGTCAACGGAAATAGGTATAACTTCATTAATCTCAACTTTCTTTCCGACTATTGTTACGCCTCTAGACATCAGCAACTGGAATACTAACATCAGTAATACAATACAATGAAGGTCATGTAACCCACAAATAGACTTTTTTATTAGGAAAAGGGATGAGGTGAAGTGGTAACCTAAAGGCAAGAGGTATATGTATCCTAGAATGGTCATACATCTTTGTTACAAAACCTATTTGGGACAATAAATTTAGTAAAAATTAGCAATTTTACATCTAAACTAATTTTGTTCTTAATACAACTTCTTAATCCAAACGGTGACAGTGCGTCCAAATGCGCCTTTAGGAACTATCTCAAATATGCAAAATATTGGGTCCAAACTAGAGTTCTTTAGCTTTCTGTAAAGTTGTTTGGCTTTCTTCTTGTTATAGGATAAACTTTGAATAAAGGAGGCAAGGGGTTTGAAAGAAGTAAATGACTTCTCGAAGAAGAATAAGAATCATTTAATTCGATGAGAAATTTCATGACATCATATTGTTGTTGAGCAGACAACATGGATTCAAGGATATTACAGATGCATGAGTTAAAAGCACCACAAGTATAACGAAGAAGTGGTCTGTAAGTAATGTACTCATCCCATAAAACTATGAAAGAATTATAGTATTGAGTAATAGTTAAGGCACTCTGGTCCATTGAAAAAAAAAAGAAAAGATTTTTCAAGTTGAAAAATCTCAGGGACACTACTAAGTGTATATCGGGATTTCAATTAATCCTATACATCAAGTAAAGAAAAACAGAGATTGACGAATGTCTTTAGAAACAGAGTTCAACAATATATATTATATGAGTTAAGTGTCCTATATCTTGAACATATGTTCGGAAATAAATAACTGGTAGACCAAATAAATATTTAAATTTTAGGTGTCAACAGAGTTACAGAATGATTCAAACAATTAATATACAAACTGTTCTGTAAATTTATTTATATAATTATAGCTACCGAAATAGCAGTTGTAAACAATATGGCAAACTGGGTATATTGATATTATTCTTTTTATCCAAGTTTTATATTTTGACAAAGAATAATTAATGCAATTATCAAATTTATGTAATCTATATAATTAATGCAATTATCAAACTGGGTATATTGATATTATTCTTTTACCCAAGTTTTATATTTTGACAAAGAATAATTAATGCAATTATCAAATTTATGTAATCTGATACGTAAATTTTTTATTTAAATATATTTTGTTATTTACATAAAGTGGTAGTATATAATTAACCTTCCTTAGCTTATCCAGTATTTCAGGCAGAAAACTATAAAAGAAGCGCTTAATAAACACCAAGAAACTTCTAAAACCAAATTTAACAAATAAAAATATGGAGTGCTCAAGAAAGGTGCTTATGGTTGTTATGGTGATGTCAGCATTAACCCTGTTTGCAGATATATGTGTAGCTGATAGTTATCATGTGAATGAACTCGGAGACTATTTAGCATGTTTCTTTGATTGTTATAAATCGTGTAACCAAATTCCGGACATTTGTGACAAGCTTTGTTACAATCAATGTAAAAGTTACGCAGCGGTCAAACCACAATTGCCACTGCCGACAGCCACCTGAAGACCATCAGAAAGAGAACATTTACATAGTTGTGACTGCAGTTCGATGTGGGTTTTTATACAGCAAGGAGAATTAAAATCCAAAGATCTATGTCACGGGAATTAATAAAAAATTGCATTTTATGGTTGTTTTTGTGGTAAAAATGATAGAAAATGTCTTGTTTTGCTCTCGGCTGACTCGATCCTTTTAAAGTAACTAAATATAGGAACATTTTTTGTTTTTTTTTGTTTTTTTATATTAATATATTATATGAACATTTAACTATATTTTCGTGAGGACCATTCACTTAAGTAAATATGAAAATTACCAAAATATGGCTTTAAAACATTTGAATGCTATTTAAAAAATGATTACAAAAATCTCAGTATTAAAATTGACATCCAAACGAAATAAGAACTTAGTATAAACATATGTCCTTGAGAACTATTTTGTTTTCACAAGCCCAATTATACTAATACTGAAGTAATGAAATTAAAGTCCAAGCCCACAACCTAAGCCAAATGTTGATGAGCGATTCCTTAAGGAATCGCTCTTCCAGTGACCTCGAACCAGCTTGATCTCTAAAGTAACCTGCAAAATACTGGCTTCATCAAGAGGTACCAACCTAGTTTCATTAAAAATAATTGAGGAATTGGCCAATGCTAAGTCCGGTTATAGCGAAAAGAAAAGGGAGAGCAGTCAAGCTAAAGCTGTTCACACAACCCATATCAATCAAGTAAACGATTTGATTGCTCATGCGCTTACTTCCATACGCCGGGGATGCTCCCGGCGGTAAACATCCGATGATCAAGTTCTCGAAATATGAAAAAGTGTAAAGTGTATAAGTATTTTGTAAAGCTCAGAGAGTGTAACCTTTTACGCTTTTATACCTGAGACGTATATATAGTAAACCCCTGTCTTGTTGCCCAAGATTTGCTCAATTTTACTGCCCGGGCGACTCGGCTGCCCGAAGGTCTGCCAGACGGCTATCTTGTTGCCCCCCAAGGTCTGCCCGAGACCCATTCTTATCTATGAGATGATCTAGATCCTTTCTAGATAGCCCTCCACGTGTATAATATCAATAGGTTCACCAACCTATTATCCATAGGTCTTCACTTATATACAGTCCATGTATCATCATACGATAACTGTCCATAGGTTCCTTACACACATATACTATACAGTAGGTACACCGACCTACTTCTCATAGGTCCTATATATATATATATATATATATATATATATATGATGTGGTTCAAATGAGAACCAAGTCTTAATGTGGGAACCGCTATTTTTATTTGGGCGTAGTGCTATGATTGATTGTGTTTGATGCTATTTTTAACTAGAACGAATTTTATTAAAAATAGCAACACAATTTCTGTTAGCATTTGTAAAAATGATAGCATCGTCTAATATGAAAAATGATATCATACACAATTAAAAATAACATAAAAAACGGTTCTCACGGTTCTCACACCATGACTATTTTTATTTGAACCAGCCTCTCTCTCTCTCTCTCTCTCTATAAATATATATATATATATATATATATATATATATATTTACACTATCAGCAGGTCCACCAACATATCTGCGATGGCTCTCTCCAAGGCTTGACGATGATCATTTTCACCCTGAGATGACACTACCTCTTTCAGACACCCAATCTCTACAAGGTCAGCTTCAAGCAACAACAAAGACTACATACGATTCACAACGAATGCCAGAGCAGACATCATTGGATTCCGAGGCAACTAGCTCTCAAGGGTAAACTCCACCAGAAAAACTCCCTTACCCTCGGGGGCACTGTCGACAATTCCCTTCGAGAAGCAAGCGTTGAATTTTCTCCCGACAAGTGCTGCACGACCTTCTCGATGACTGACCTGACGGAAGAGCCAAAACCCTTCACCACAGGATATTGAGATAAGGTATCCTTGCAGCCTTGCTCTCTTGCTCCTTCTTGCCAACTTCCTCAAACCCCCTCTCGGAGATATTTCTGGATAGAACTTCCTCAGGTCCCGATGTTTCGACTTGAGGACCCCTGCCTGCACCGAAAGATGTTATCTTGGACATGAATTGGGATATTTGCTTCCCAACACCATCATCTCCAATGTCGTCGGTGGCGACACAGGCATCAACCGCCTGCCCTAACAACTTTTTTTTTATTTTTTTTTAAATTAGCAAGCATCTCTATTCTCCCTATCGTTTGAGAAAATTTTCGACAAAGCACCAGCATAAATCCTCTCTGACCAAAAAACTGTAGAAGAGAGTGAAGACAAAACAAGGAAGAAGAAAAGATGAGTGTATGTCAAAAGAAACTTTTGCAAAGAACTCACCTTATATAAAAATGCCATTAGAAACCCTTGATTTACACGCTATTTACATTAAATGAATGGACAATATATTTCAAGAAAAGAGGATATTTTGCACGCCAACTGTTCAAAATCCCACACGTGCCAAACCACCATTGGAAGGCGCGATATTCAACAGGAAAGATCTCGTCATCAAGGGAAAACCGTCATGATTATCCCTCTTTCGGAACTCCAATAGACACAACCTTTTTTCCAAAATAAAATAATCATGAATTGACCTTTTAAGAACCCACTCATGAGTGCCCAACCGAATTTCTAGCCAGTTTGCACCCCCTATAAAAAAATTCCAAATAGATTCCTACGACCAACCGAAGTACCTTGTGTTGATACCCGAGTTGGACCAACATGAGATTCCTGGTTCAACGACAAAGAACCAGAGAAAGATGACCTAGAAACCCGGACCGATCCCTGAGGGGTTACGAAGTGTCGAGCTGACCGGAAAGCAAAATTAATTGGAGCGACGAGCGATATGATTTCTCAGGTCGGAGCCTCTACTGTAAGGAGGCGGGGCCGATCTACACAGATGACGAACCCAGGAATAGTATCCCGGGGGTCAATAGGTGAGTTAACGAGGAGGGTCCGACCTGGACCTCTTTCGAGTCGGCTCCTGGACGCTTGCGGGACCCAGAACTTATAAAATATTGCCACTTGTCAGCTAATGATTGTCGATGGGACGCACCTCCATAGCCTGTCAACCTAGAGTCTAGCCTGGCAGAAAGGCCTGTCCGCATTATACGCTCTACGAGAGAGCATTAAATGCCTGATAGGCAATGATTAGGATAACCTCAAATCGCATTAAATATCTGTCAGAGCGACGTCGACCTGCTCTGCATGATCACTGTACGAAGGGACAGGGTGAGCAGTGCCTGAACAATACCAAGCTGGCATTTCTATATATAGGCAACCCATTTCATTTATGAGGGTTGTTGAAATCCTCAACTATTGCTTTCTCTCTTTACATTTCTGTAATAAATTCCCGTAAGAATCCTGAGTGTAACAAAAATGTCAACCTCAATATCAGAGGCCGACCTCGTAATTAAGTAAAAAATTCCATTTTGATCGTATATCTTCCCTATCTTACTTTCTCATTATCATAAAACTTTATTTTAACCGTTGATCGGATCCCTCCATCAACACCTTGTCTGACCCCTGAAACATGGGGGCATTATGTTGATCCTCAAATTTTGCCGACCTTAAATAAGCTTGGTGAAACATTTATGATACAGGCACAACAAAAGATACCCTTGAAGCCAACATACTAAGAAGCGCTCGGGGTTAAAAAAAAACAATGATGTCGATCTCATTCCGAGCTACGAAGTAATCACGTCGACATCTGCCAGAAGCAAGGCCTCCTCCTTGCATGATCTCAACCAAGTGCTAATGTGAAAGGAGTTGCCACCCAGAACTTGTTCTCACTGTTCAAAAGGATAAACCACTTGCTCAATTGGGCAAGTTTCTTAGACATGTGTCGTCATGCATGTCACTAGCCTCTAAGAAGCCGCCACTAAGAAGCCGCCACGCATTCCGAGCAGAATATATTTTAAAGGCCTCCCAATATATAAATAGAAGGTCTAAGGGCTCCAAAGACATGGATTTCTACATACATGAATTTCTACTGAGTTCTCCAGTTACTTTACTTAAGTTCCTCGCATTTTTTTCTCATTTCAGAAGTCTTCGATGGGCCCATTTATAAAAGAGACCCGGGAGCAGTCCAATCCATAAATAAAAATTGTCAGTGCAGCCACCCTAATGCATACTATATATATTCTCTTTGCCATTTTTGCTATTTTCTCGCTAAATCTATAAAAACAATAAATTATAATCTAATTAACACATCATCGGTTCGGCGGTCCTGTTGGCGAAAACAGACATCAACCTCATACGGGTATGGTGAGGTTTATCTAACTGAAAGGCCCTGCGATCGAAGGAAAAGTGATACGGTGGTGTTTATCTAACTCACAAGAATTGTGTCCAATCAATAGGAACCATTTTTTGTAACGTTAAGTATAGGAGAATGACCAAGTCGACAAGGAGAAATAGTTGTAGAGAGGGCATGTGGATCAATAGGTGTAATTATACCTAAATAGTAAGGGACTCCACGTTCATGTCCGCTACCAATCATCCTCCGCATCTACAAAACATAATACGAGGAATAAAAGGTTACACAGAAATTATGTGATTTGGTGAGATTATTGATGGATAACAAGGTAACATGAAAGTGGGGAGCAAAAAGCACATTATCAACAGTGACATTTTTATTAGGGGTTATAACGCTTGTACCAGTGATAGGAGAGTATGTACCATCTCCAAAAGAACAGGGGATCACGATAATGAATATGAAATTGAGGAGAAAGGGGTTTTGTTACCAGTTATATGAGTAGCAGCACTTAAATCCAACAACAAAAAGTACACAAGTCACAGCAAACCCACTGCAAGAATTGTTGAATTACTCCACATACAAAATGTTGAAATAACAGAATTATAACCACATTAGAGTCCTGCATAAGCAGAGTGAGATAGAAGAGCGTCGTCTGACATGAAACGAATGTCCAGAAATTCAGTGAATTATAACACTCAAACTGTTTTATTAAACCCAATGCATTTCGACAGTGAATGACCATTTTTGCACACATACGAACCCAACATAAACATATATATACATATATGCTGTTGTATCGAGTTTTTTTAACCATCACAGGAGCTAATCAATGTACAAAGAAGCAAGTATATCCAAGAGGGAGGCTGCAAAACGCATCTGGGTGTCCTCATCTATGGTGAGGAAGAGAGGCACGTGCACAAACAGTGACCTTATCCCATTCTGTTCTGCAAAGCGCAAAGAGTGATAGTAAACATAGTTGCACACAAACCGGCCAGCATCGTCTGAGGTTGTCACTTCATACCCCATTTTTGCAAGCGACTTTGTAATGTCCTCAACGGGAAGGGAAGTCTGCAGAAAAAAAAAAGTGGTCTTCAAATTCTTACAAAGTCATAAAAAGAAAAAAAAAATATATAAATTGAGGTTCCATTCCTATTTTTTTTATCTTTTCATTTTCTAAGATCAGTATTTCGGAACTTTTCTATCCCCGTGAGGATTCGGATGCTAAACATTAGCTTACTTTAGGAAAAACTAAAAGGATGCAAATGTTATCAACCCAAGATTAGTCAGTGTGGCTGCTTCATATGTATAAAAATTGAGAGCAACATTAGTTTTCCTGAAATGCACATTTCAAAATCGCATTTTTCTTCCCTTCTGTTATTCTCTCAAAAGTGAGAAATGCTTATAGTTTTCTTAGCAGCCCTAAAGTGTATTGAATTTTCTTTTTCTTCAAGGTTCTGTATTTTTCAGACTCTACAAATGCGAGGAAGCAGGGACAGTGAAAGTGACATGAGCAAATTATCTTCAACAATGTCCAGTTTGTCTCTTTCAACCAAGTATTGACATTATTTTATAAGTAATTTCAATAATTCCCAAACACCATATACAACAATTCAAATAATATTGTCAGCTCTTCATGCCCAAAACAGAAGACCAAAATAAATACATTGTAGTTTGTACAAATGCAAATATAAGAAGCAACAGTTGAACAAAACAGCAAAAAATCAAACATCTTTCATTTCATGGTTGACATAGATACATAGTAGACTAAACCTTAATATGCCAGTAGCCAGTAATCGACCCAATTAGTCCCAAAACAATTTAGTGCAAGCAAATATACATAAGCCATACCTCCCGAATTCGTGAGATCCCACCATCAGCGGGAACAATGGGAACTTTCTGCAAATGCGAATCATAGTTAAATCAAGCTCCTAAACTCTTAATAAAGCAAGGTTAAGATTACAAATTTACAAGCAATTAACACGTGTGTTTCAGTGTAACCTGAGGCTTCCATCCCATCTCATCCGGGCAACGGAAAGTAGCTTCATTGACAGCTTGATTCTCTAAAGCAAATCTTGTCGCTCCACTATTTACACCAAAATGAACCTACATACAAAGTATGAGCACGAGAATCCAAACGCTAAAAGAGAAAAAAAAAAAAAAAAAAAAAAAAAAAAAAAAAAAAAATAGAGAATGTGTCTAAGTGATGGTAAGCAGGTTCAAAAGCTTTTTACTTTTAAATCTAGCTGGTAGGTAACCCAGATCAAATTTGTAATCATGGAAATTCGAAATAATTGTGGTATCTATAGATTTTTATGTGAAGAAAATGCTATTAACTTGTTAAATGATTAGAAAAATAAAGATAAGTTGCCTATCGATGTGCGGAAATTCACCTATACTCACCTATACAATTAAGATAGCGGTGTAGAAAGTTACAGATAATGGATATGGAACAGTTGAAGTTTGAAAGAAAAGTTTACTCTTTTTTAATTAAAAACAGTTCAGAATAATTTATTCCAAGTACATTCAACAGCTCTAGAATGGAAATGTTGGCTAACAAACCCCCACAAAAATGAGTAAAAATAGCAATTGGGGATGAAAGAAACTAGCAATAAGATATCGGCTTAGTCAACAGAAACATAGGGAGCTCAATACAACAGATTATGTTATGAAAATTATGCAAAAAGCAAGGCCCAGGCTTTTCTAAGAGTGACTGTGCTGCTGCTGCTCATTTCCTAAACAAGTAGTTTCACATGAATTAACCTCATACACACCACAAAATATCAGGAAGTTTACATTTTCAGTCCTAAAACCACAAATGCATTAAAAATTAACTAAAATCATTTCTTCCATCAGTAGATAGAGCTTCTTCTATTCTGTCAAATAAAACAAAAACCACCTAAGTTCTTTCTCCTAGAAACTAAATTGCCATGCAGCACTAATCCCTGATGGCTGATTCAATTTTCAAATAACTCACCCAATCTCTACCCAAATAACTGAAATACGAACAGCAAAACTCACCCAAATAACTCTACCAGAATTTTGCATGTCAAAATTCATGCTCACGGCAGATTGCAATGTTTGGTACAAAGGAACAAGGGCTCCATGTCCCGCAGCTTCAAGAACCGTGCAACTACCTAGGGTCATCCCTTTTGGCAGACCCCTTTTGTTCATGTAGGCTTCTAGATTGCTCACAATCGTCTCGGTTGGATTTTCTGCAACTCCATGGAATTTTTTAAAACCGGTCACATGAATTGTTACTGCAGGAGTAGGACCTTCAGACCCCATCTAGAGATTTATTTAAGTTATGCGGATCCTTCAAAGAATGGATTGTATGAGATATTGGTGTGTGTACCTAAAAGGACAAATAAGAGATATCAGGCATAAGTAAAAGCCACAACCTTTACTTCATCTGCAAACAACAGCAAAGTATCATTAAGAATTTACAACTTCATACATCAGAAATGTCAGTTATAAGGATTACAGACAATGCTATGCCAATAAGCTACAAACCTGAAGACAGCTTGTGAAGAAAATAACAATTAAAGTATCAACGAACCAAAAGAAATAAAAGTGTGAAGGATGAAGGCACTTCAATCTTTTCTAAAGCCAGAAAAATTAAGTTAGATGCCTCAAAATCTGCATAAACAAAAAGTTGTGCAAAGAGAAAACTCAACCGAGAAGCAAAAAAGGAACATCTAAACAAGACTGATTTAGAACAAAAAGAGGGAAAATCGGAAATTTAATCTTACTCAGTATTAAATAAAACCTAATCTTGATTTATATTGATTCTTAAACATTTCTTACTAAGATTGGCTTCAAGAATAAGAAGCCCAACTACTACAGAATCTAAAACCCACTTAATCGAGAAAATCAAACCATTAAAAACCAAAAAACGGATCGGGAAAAGCAGAACACGAATATATTACCCCCACTGGAACCAACTTCCGACTAAAGGTTGAGTTTTTGAAGACGGCTCTCTGCTCAAACGAAGACGGTAGCAAAATGTTATATAAATGCCTCAACTACCAAGTAGCAATCTTATCTACACACTGATTTATTACTATTAGTTATTGTTTGGACATACCTAAAACCGATTCCGATTCCTGTAATTAATTATTGATTCCACTTTTTAACTGGGGATGTGCAGTGGTTGCAGCTCAACAATTTTCAGGAAAAGGACAAAAGAATTGTAGGTGAACCAGAGTGGATTGATTGAACAGACAACGTTGGGTGCAGTGGCACACAGATCCTCGAGCTTTGCGCATAATTTCGCTTAATTTCCCTTCCCTCTCTATATTAATAAGAGGCAGTTTGGGGGTTTCTTTTGCTGACACGTGGCGTAGTCTGCAGCTTTTCCTATTTTCTTACCCTATGGCCCAAAAACTTTGAGTAATGTTGGGCTGTGTTTTTCCAATTAAAAGCCCCGTTTTTCATTATGCGGGTTAGGGTTTTGGGGGTGTTCGCGTGCAGCCAGAGCGCCGCTGTGTAGCCGTCTTCCCTATCTGATTTCCCGGTGCTCCACACCACATGGAGGTTGTAGACGAGCTTCAGGGACTTCAGCGGGTCATGCTCCCACGCGAACTTCAGGCGCTCGGTCAAGGTCTCCGACAGCGTGTCGGGGATGACGTGGAAGAAGAAATCAAGACAGGGATTGCCCTTCAGAGGAAGGTCGGCGAGAAATTATCCGTCAGAGATAGACGAGTTCCCACCCGTAGAGAAGAAGGTCGACGAACAGTGCCTGTGACCAGCGGCAACCGGTAGCCTTTGGAGGGATGGCGGCAGCGCGACTACCCGACGCGGCAACCCGCGACGCAAATTGACGGGGCGGCATCAGAGATTAGGTGCTTGTGGATTTTCTCTTCAATTTAATTCTTTTATCTGTTTTTATAGCTGAACAAGTTTTCTTAACGGGGTAAAAAATTGATTTCTTCTTAGGAAACCCTACGGCTCCGTCACTGGAGGAAGTGGACAATGCCTCTAGCACGTAGGGTTTGTTTCTCCACCTATAATATTTGATTCTTCTAACATCGTTTATAACGAAAGAAAAAGAAAGCAACTTGAAATCGGACCACTAAGTTTGATCTGAATGTTACCATATTGCACTTCACTTTAATTTTTTTATTTTTATTTTTATTTTTTTTTCATATTGGAGCAGTAAGTCAGCTGTGTTGCTTGCGAGTTAAGAATGGTTCAGATAAAGCAACATTTTTTTATCAAAAATTTGAACTGTGTCGGAGAATTTGTCGAGGTGGATTGTCTTTTGTTGCTCCACCTAATACTTATTATTGTTCTTAAGGTATGTGTACCCATCTGATTCTTATGTGTGCAGCTCTAATTTTTACCGTCGTTAGGATCAGTTTATGTCTCAGATTTTGTGTTGTTTTTTATCCATAAAAAAAAAAACCCAAATTCTAGAGTCCTCTGTAGATTTTTGGTTAACATTTTAGAAATTTCATACTCATGTTATTGTCTCGTTATTGTCATGCTCAAGGCTGTGCATTAAGCTGTTGGGCTATTCTTCACCATTTTTTGTCTCTAGGTCCATTGGTGTGTTTATGTTAATATCTCAAAAATTATATGATATCAAAGTGTATAAGGTATTCGAGCATAGTTCAGAAATTACTCACATGATGAGCAGACCAGTTGAGAACTTACTAGCAGTAGTATAATAAGAGGACATTTAAGTCTATTGATTTGTCTCTTCAAGTCTCGAAACATCTTATTAATGGATAATCTATTTGGAATCTTAAGAGGACATCTTATTTATTGCAGGTCGCCCAACATACAAATGTTGTTACTGTGGACCTGTGGTGACAGGGATTGTTAGATGTGCAGGTTTGAAGGTAAATTTCGACATTTTGGTGTGTAATTTATACATATTTCTCCTGTGGCTTAATTTTTCTAGATTATTAATGGATAATATTTGTAATGTAATATTAAAGTTTGGCAATTTAGCTTACGGTGGCCACCATCACAGCTTGAAAAGTCATAGCCTTGGCTAATAAAGACACACTAATTGCTGGAGGGCCTTTTGTCCTTCCTCTTGCACACAAGCACAAAGCCAAGATTCTTCCTACAGGTTCCGAATATTTAGCTATATTTCAGGTACGTATAAATTCTAATATGATGCATTCGTATAAATTCTAATATGAAATTGTTATTTATCATCGTGTAGTTTTTATAAGTTTCAGTGTATACAAGGCTTTTGCCCGAAGGTGCTCTGAGGCACATAATTTTGACGGCATCACGAGGAACTTTCCGGTTAGATAATTTTTTGAGATTCTTTGAATTAAAAATTTTATAATTGGTATGGAAGGTGTATAGATTAACTCTCATGTGGATATAAAAGTTAGAAGGATTTATTGCTTTCTTGAGTCTAATTACGTGTCTTTAATTCTTTATATGGGATTGAGCTGCATCTGGTGAAAATATTTTTCTTTCTTATATGTATGCACTCCTTTTATTTTCTTTGTAGTATATATGATTAAATTTTGCTAAATCAAAGTGTAGATTGGGATAGGGATTTGTCAATTGATAAATTTAAAGATCTAAAAGTTGCAGATGTTTTAAAGCATCCCAATTGGGATGTGGGGAAACAGATTAAGGCCGACTCCGACTCTGCTACATTCATAATAATAATAATAAAATTATTGAAATTAATTGCATATTGCACGATCATTTTTTTTTTATTTTTTTTTTTTGGTTTTTAACGTGGAGAATTCATGTGGTTTTGATAGGGTTTCGAAGTTAAAGAAGCTCACTATCTATTTGTAGCCGAATATGATGATATTAAGATTGTTGGATTAGATCACGGGGTGGAAGATGACGCATAGTTCAACTCATTAGCTTGGTAGCCACCCGATTTCGGCCGAAGAACAACCTCAGAAACTATTTAATTTGTCGTGGTTATTTTTCTACTCAATTTGAACATTGTCGTGGGCTGGCTGTGCATCGCACAGCCGATAGGCTCCTAGTACTTAAATAAAACAAGACTTTTAATTGGGAGGAAAAAAAACTTTATTATTTTTCTTTGCAAATATGTTATTTTTTTAAAAAAATCACTATTCTAGATCAACTAAAAAAAACTAGTGTATCTTAAAATTTATTTTCTAAATTTTATTTTAATGTTATATTAGCCCGTTAAAACGTTTATATTAATAAAAATAATATTTTAACACATGTATTTATTTTTTGATAGAAAAATTAATAATAATTTTACTTATTTTTGTTCATCATAATACTCAAAATATTATTTTATTCTAAAATTTATTGTCATATAATGTCATTCTTATTATTTATAACACTTATAAAAATAGTATTCTTATATATATATAGAGTTGAGATCATATGAGAATTGTAAACAGTGAAAGAAATGAGAATAAATGTGAATCATTGGATACATCATGTCAATGGTTGGGATTAAGTAAAATTTTAGTCAATCATTAATGACAATATAATAAATACGTAGATATATAGTGGTCAAATATATAGATTTGAACACTAATTAAGGATAATTTAGGCATTTGCTTAAAACACACCATGGGGTCCACCATCTCCCACATTAAACCTATCACCTACCCCAGCCCGTGAATCCCCTACCCACTCACCACCAACCCCACTAAATCTCTCTCACTATCTCACTCCTCACATCGTACACACACAGATTCACATTAGGCTCCATCATTCGCCGTCAGTTGCCCGTCGTCCGTCGCCCACCCCATGCCACCTGTCAGACGAACACCATCGCTGCCTACCAGATGCACACCACTTCAGACACCACCGGAAAACACTATTTGCAGCCTGTTGGATTCCGACCGCCCCAAACCGCCGTCGTAGGTCCCGTCGCCACCGCCACATCCTGAAACTGATCCACCCCGACCAGGTCCGCCATCTCCGCAATCGCGTCTCAAAGAATCCAACGCCGTATCTCGTCCAACCACCAGACCGAACCCGACGGCGCTCGAGCTTTATCACACCCTTCCTCTCCGCTGCCGGCCGTCGACATCGACTTCAACGGCGATCGGTTATTCGTGAGATTCCAGGCGTTCTGCTGAAGATCTTGATTTTTTTATTCTGAATTTTGATTTGTAGTGTTGTATTGTAAACTAGATTAACACAAGGGTTTGTTTTGGAAAATTGGGACTTAATCGCAATTTCATAATTTTTAATATATTACAATTTAGTTCATTGATCAAATTTATAATTAATTGAAATATAATTAGTAATTTAATAGTTTTTATATTTTATTGACTAAAAATGAATAATATCTTTACATAAAAAATACTTCCTCTTATTTTTATTATTTGTCATTCTGGCTTAATTGATCATTTGTTAAATAAATGTCGTTTTGGCTATTTTGTACATATTTTTTCATTATTACTCTCATCTAACTAATAAAAATACACTACGTATTTTCACATTCATTCTCCATATTTTATCAAAATATCAATCTCTATCCTCATTAATGAGGGTTATTATTGGCAAAAAAAATATTCTTAATTACTGTGCAACTTCTCAAAACGACATTTATTAAATATAGGAGGGAGTATAAAAAAATAATTATAATATTTTTTAATATAGTTATGTCATTCGATTATTTAGTTTGGTCAAGTTCGTTCGGTACTGTACAATCTGATGATCTTTAATGTTCAATTATTGTAACTGTAATGTGCATCAAAGCAATATATAAAAATAATAATAATATTTTTAATATAGGTCGGTCAGCTAAGTTGTTTAAAAAGAAAATAAATAAAGCCGACATCGAACTGAAATAACTGTGATTTGAAAAGTAAAAACAGATAACTGAACCGAAATATGAAATTTTTAATCGAAAATTTTAGTTCGGCCGATTTGAGATGCTAAGGTGCATTCTGGTACTCGTTAACGTGCAATCTGGTAGTCATTAATGGGCAATCTGTCTAACATTATTGTGCACTATTAGTTGATTTATTTTTTTTCTGATTTGCCCAAACAAAACTAATTTCGAACAAAACAGATGTTTTATGGATCGATTAATTAAATTAACATAATTAATCGAAACAAATTACAGTTTATATTATAAAAATGTATATTTATTATTTTTCTATTATTTATTGTTGTAAAGACATAAAATATATAAATAACAAAGTAATATTTTTTTATAGTTCGATCGATTAGGTTATTTTAAAAAAATAAAAAATAAAACTGTCATCGAACCGAAATAACCAAAAAGTTTTAAAAATGAAAACAGATAATTGAACCAAAATATAATTTGGACACAAAAAACTTAGTCGGTGGGTCTTGGTTGCTATGGTGCAACTTGACAACACTAATGTGCAATCTGTCTAGCACCAATGTCCACTCGAAATTAAGTGTTTTTTCATTGATTTGTCGCAACCCAAACTAATAACAAAATATTTGGTTTATTTGATCGATTCATCGAATTAACCTAAAAAATCACAATAATTTGTAATTTATATTATTAGAAATATATTTAGTATTTTAACAATTTTATTCAATAGTTTATATTATTTGTTGTATAAAAGACAATATATACATATAATAAGAAATGTAATTTTTTTATATAGTTTGGTTGAATCTGCGACTTCAGCAATTTTAAAAATAATCAAAATTTTAAAATTAAAAAACATACTAAATAGTGTATCAATGAACTTTTGATTTTTTTCACGCGGCACCTGGCAGACTTTCAGCGGCGGACTTCGATCAAGCACGTGCCGGCAGGAGTCAGAGCGGCGGCCAAGACGTGAAGTGGGACTGAGATTTTTTGTGTGTTTTATTGTGTATGTGACGGGTTGTGTGTGTGTGTGTCGGGTTGAATCAAGCTGAGGAGCGGCGACGGCAGACGATGGTCGGTGGCGGAGAGTTCCGACGTGAAGCGACCGACGTGTTGTGTGTGTATTGTGTGCATCAGTGTGTGTGTGAGAGAGAGAGTGGGGTGGGGTGGCTGATTAATTGGGTGGTTGGCAGGTGCACAACGTGCATTAATCTGTAGTGGGGCCCATTTATTTGGGTAAGTGTAAAAAATTACTATATATTACCCTTAATGAATATATAATTTTGTTTTATTTTTAGTCATTAGATCGTTCGATCTAGTGGCCACGGTTTATTCTTATTTCTTTCACTGAGCACCATTCTCACCGGAGCGCGACCATATATATATATATATTGGTTCCAATGCATCCGTTTATTTAAAGTGAGGACGTGAGACTCATTTTTAGACACAAGATTTGGTACATCATGTGTGGCAAAGATTTACTCTTTTCTTTTTATTATTTTAATTATTTAAATATTATTTTGACCCGTTGACTCCGGCGTTGACCGTTGACTTCTGGCGTTGACCGTTGACTTCCGGCGTTGGTCGTTGACTTCTGACGTTGACCGTTGACAACTTCAAAATTTTTCAATCTGAAATGGGCCTTTACTCATAACTCATAAGTTGTTACTGAAAACTCCATATCTTCTTCTTCTTATTATGAGCGGACCAGTTAACTTGTTCTCCTCCTTGGCGGCCCATGGGGCTAACCCATTTTCGTCTGCTCCTTGCCGCCTAAAACTACTCAGTCAAGCTCGTCTCTTTTGCGGGGCGGGGTGAGTCAGTCTGCTAGTTTAAGTCCACATTTCTTATTATTATCTACTACCTATCAAAATTTTGGCTAATTCAACTTCCACATTATAAATAGAAGGTCAGGTGAGTATCATTTTTCTCATTTTTTTGAAGTGCTCTACCTTCTTTATTGATAATCAAATTGTTTGATTTAATTAATTTGGAACAAAATATATTTTGGCTAGAAAAATAAAATAATTAAATAATTAATGCATACACGTTAATTTGTGGTAAAATATTATTCTAGATTGACTGCACTCAAAATATATCACACTTTGTGAACTAATTGCAAATTATTATTTCTTAAAGTTGTTTTTTCAACCAAAGACAACATTTTCAACCGCAGTTGGCCAGTTGAGCATTTTCGAAGGTCAAACTTTAAAATCGTTGAATTATTGCTTATAAATATAATCATTAACACAATATCTTTGGTGGGACATCTAAACGTGAAATGGTACAGTAAATGACAAGGCACCACACGTCGTCACAATTACATCTCTCTCTGTCGAATGCAATGCTAGCAAATACCAACGATGACGTACTTACATTCCTCCCGTTCACATTCTGCACTTCTTCCCTTCACGAAGATTAAGATGGTAATATGGTCAAATTAACTTTGTTGATTGTAAATAATTATTTAATGTATAAAAATTTATGTGATTTGTTACAAGTTACAACCAAATTAATAAAAGTCGCTAACGCAGCTAGGCGGCGTTAAGGCGTCTAGATGGGGCTTACACGAATTCACAAAATTATTATTAAATTTATTTATATTTATTTTCACTATAATTTATTATAAGTATATTATATCACACGAATTAATTAGGATAGTTAAATATAAATATTATATTTAAAATATAATAAAATTGTTACTATTGTANATGGAAATCAATCAAACAGGCGGATTTTGAAAATTCGTTTTTCTAATAAAATTTTTATTAGAAAAATAGATTTTCATAATTCGTTTTTATTTTTTATTTTTTATATTTATTTTAACGATCGAATTTAATAAGAATAATAATTCTAATTTATAACACGGATTTTCAAAATCCGTTTTTAGTAAAAAAATAAAAATAAAAATAAAAAACGAATAGAACGGATTTTGAAAATCCGTTTTTATTAAAAGAACGAATAAAACGGATTTCCAAAATCTGTTTTTCGGTTTATATAAACAACTACAACATCCTCCCCAGATCACTGCGCGTTCTTTTGTTGGTTCATAAACATATTTTTGTGTCTTTTGTTCGATTTTCGGCGAATTGAAACTCCATTCAAAAAGAAAATAAAAAAATTCAACCAATCATCGGAGAAGAGGTTAGTTTTTATTTTATTGTAATATAATATTATTATTTTTTTGTTTATGATTGTTTAAGATATATATTTAGTTAATTGAGTATTGTTTATAAAATCTTGAATGTTGGTTTAATAGTTGTGTTAAATGGTTATAATTTGTTATTTGCTATTGTTTAGAAAATCTTGAATGTTGATTTAATGTATGTTGAATATTTATCCGAATTGTTTATGAATTTGAGGTTATTATTGAATTATGGTGATTAGGGTTTTGGTGGTGTTTTTGATAAATTAATTGACAATTTTATTTTTTTTATGAGTAAAAATATGATTAATTATATGTTGTTATTGGAAATGAGTTTTAAATTTAGATTGGTAAAATAATAATTGAAATTTTCTCGGGTGTTTGATTAGCCATTATGTGTTGTTATAATTTGTAAAATAGAAATTAAAAAGGGCCTCATATAATTTTTAAATGAGTCTCATATAAAATATTATAATATATATTAATATATATTTTAATATTTTATTCTTAAAAAACAAAAATAATTAAATAACTAAATAAAAAAAATAGAAAAGCCTCCGTTCAAACTTCAATGGAATGAACGGAAAAAGGGCCCCACTCCCTTAATGAACACCACATCTCTGTTAACGCGCAACTGCCATTTAAACGGGGCGAATTAACTCCCATTGCAGATGCTCTTAGAGCATTGATTCATACTAGCTTTACTAAATTTATTGATTGTCAAACTAATGAAGTGAGATTCACTTTATTCATTAAATTAGTATTTATTTAAGCCAGTCTTTTATATACAATAAGTAAATTATATCATATTAATAAAATTATTAGTATTTATTTAAGTAATCAGATAATTGAAAATCTCGATATATTTTGATTTAATTGAAAATTTTTATTTCGGTTTCTATTCATTTTTTTTTTATGTTACTG